CTCCTCCTCCTCCTCCTCCTCCTCCTCCTCCCCCTCCTTCTCCTCCTCCTCCTCCTCCTCCTCCTCCTCCTCCTCCGGCGTCGTCGTCGTCGTCGTCACCGTCATTGGGTGACCGTCGGCCTGGCCACAGCCCGGGCGGTTGCCAGGAACGGCGTTCCTGCTCATCGGCCTGTTCGTGACCTTCCACCTCGTTTGTGCGCTGGTCCGCCGCCCAACGCGTCGACCTCCCTTCTCAGCTCTCTTCCTCCTCCTCTCCCTCCCCCTCCTCCTCTCCTTCTTCTCCACCCTGTTCTGTGTGAACCCTCCTTCCCTCCCCTCTGTGTGCACTTTGTGACATACATGCTCTCCACAGCCATTTAGGCTTGCGGGGCACTGGCGTGCCCAAGGACTGCGTTGATCTCGTGCGTTCCCAAGCGTGCTGACAGATATCTTTCGCTTGTCGATGTGATCTCTGACACTCCCATGCCAGCCGACAGTGGTAGCCAGAGCGCGGGCGAGGCCGCAGGGGATCAGGAGGGTGTCAACGGGCACGGGTCGCAGGACGCCGCGGGTGACGCGCAGTGCGTTCGGCCGCCAAGAGCCCATGGGTGTCGCCGGGACCCCGCCACTGACCAGTTCGGTGGCACCGACCCGGTGGACAAGCCTTCCACTCCACCGAGGACGACGTCGGCGGCGGCCGCCGACGGACCCCAGGACGACGCCGCAGCCGGCGCGAGCTCCAAGGGGACTTCGGACTTGCGGGGGTCAGGCTGGAGTTGGCAGCCCGAGCTGGGGAACGTGAGCGTGGAACGAGACGTGGGGGCCGTCGGTGAAGGAACGTGACCCTCCGCCGGACAAGGACTACACGGCTCCGCCACCGTGGCTTGGACTGGAATGGCCCTGGAAGTCGAGGGCGGTCTTCCGACCCGAAGTGCAAGCAGGACGCGTTCTAGAGACTTGTCCAGTGGAGCTGCAGTCAAAGTTCCAGGCGATTAAGAGTTCGTTAGATTCGATTGACGGCCTCTCCCAGCTGATTGGACACCTAGAGCTGCTCAAGGGGCAGCGCACAGGAGACAGAGAGAGAGAGGCCCAGAATAAAGCGATGTTTTACTTTGCCATCAGACTGGGCGAAAACCTGACGGATTGCATATTTCGCCGTGGCAGCCAGCTGGTGACGGCCGAGCGCATAGCCGGGCTCGTGCTACCCGACTCGGTGAAAGCGAGGTAATACGAGGAGGGACGTGGCTTGACGGTGCAGGCTCGCATCAACATGAGAAACATGCTGAATCGAAAGAAGGATTTCGCCTCAGTCAGGAGCGCAATTCTGGAGCTCGATATGTGTGACCAAAAGCTATTGCCGAAGACGTCGGCCGCGACGAGCTCGATACCGACATTTGTGGGCTACCCTGGGGATTAGGAGGGGCCTGACGAGAATGATGACGAAGTGCAGTGCAATGGCATCTAGGAGATCGAGTACGACGAGGACGAGCTGAACGCCATCTTGGAGTCTTTGGACGATCAGCATATGGCGGAAGACGAAATCGTATATGTTCTTGCGGGGGCTGCGACGTCCAGCAGACGCAAGACGTAGCAGGAACCCCGCCACAGGAAAAAACACACGAGGGTAGATCGCGACCTCTTCGACCGACGACGAGAAGGCAAGTCAGGCGGCAATGGTCAGGTCAACAAGACACGCCGTCTCCTACGATGTGACTTCAGAAGGATATCGAGATGCTCGAACTGTCGGGACAAAGGGCGCTGGAGAGAATCTTGCAGCAAGCAAGCCAGGAGCAAGGCCGATCGCCTGAAAGCCGAGGCGGACCAGAGCCAGAACACTATTTACGTCTTCGATCTGTCGCGCAACGCTGCTCACTCTGGACTAATCGGGCGAGCTCTAGTGCCAGTGTCTTTGCATTGGTGCGGAATCATTGGGGCTGGGACAACGACGGTGACCTAGAACTCGTCGTGGGGAACGGGGACGGCGAGGTGGTGCACTTCGAGCGGCTGGCGGGCGAGCGCCTGGCCCAGCGCCTCGGGATGGAGAGCCCCTGCTATGGCATCAGCGTGACGTCTGAGGTCTATTACTCTGATGATGTTGAGTCCCAGCCGGTGGACAAGGACAACGGCCGCGACCTGAACCTTGTGGTGGGCAGCGGGACGGCGAGGTGGTGGTGATGTTCGAGTTACCGGCGAGGGGGCGCCTGGCCCAGCGCCTCGCGGAGGAGAGCCCCTTCCACGATATCGACGTGTACGATCCTGCCTCAGCCCCCTACCCCGGGCGAGTGGATGAAGGTTGTAGAGCACAGTGGTTGGTGAGCAACTCTCTTGCCAAATTGGAGCGTGCATCGAAGGCCCACGCATTGTCGGACTTCTCCTCTGTCCTCGTCGTCACCGACTCGCCTGGTCCCGTTCGTCTTCGTGTCTCCAGCTTTCGCCAGCAGATGTTGTCAGTTCCCTCGGGGAGGTACCATGGACCAGACGGTCATCAAATCTCGAGAATCCACACCAGGCCCGCCCGCGAGTCGGCGAGGACCTCAGAAGGTCTAAGTGGGCCATATGGGTCCCCCAGGCTTGCTCCTCACACTTTTTAGTCGCCAGCAGCACCTGAAGCCTTTCAGTAGGTCTAGCTGATTTCCCCAGTGGTCGCTCCAGCTGCCCAGGTATCGTTCGCTCGCTCGCCTCCTCCCCCAGCTCTCCGGCCTGGAGACCAGTGGGACCGCAAATGCAGCGCAAAGGCGAGGGAGGGAGGGGGAGTAACGGCGCGAGCAGGAGCTGGAGCTGGAGGAAGAGGAGGGATACTTGCGGAGGAGGAAGCGCCGAGTTTAGATAAAGGATCATGACCGTGATCCGGGGGCCTCGCTGCGTCCACGGCGCCCCAAGTCATTGATCTATTGTCCATAACCTCCCGGAACGGCACAGGAAACTACAGTTGCACCTTCCCCACCGAAGGGCAAGGTTGAGCCCGCGCCGCCAGGAGCCGAGGGGAGGGAGAAGTGGGGCGAGGCAGCGGGCTGGAGCACGACGGGAAAAAGGGGGGAGGTAGGAGTGAATCTCAGGAGGGGCCTGATGGTGCGCTCCATCCAGAAGAGTCTCCAGTTCGTAGCTGGGAGCGCAATCTCCTGACATCCGCCCCGGCGTGGGATCGAGATCTGCCATCGCTCCGGCAGTTATGGATGGACATGAGTGGGCGGGGCGGGGTGGGGTCGTCGGCAGTCTGCGAGGTTCGAAGGCAACTTCCATGACGCCCGCCGCAGCTGCCGATGCCTGGACAGGCAGCGCCACGAGCCCGCCGCACGCGCCGCCTTCTCGTCAAGGTCGTGCGGGCGGGCCGCGGGCGGGTCGCGCGCGGGTCGCGCGCGGGTCGCGCGCGGGTCGCGCCCGGGTCGCGGGCGGGTCGTGGGCGGTTCGCGGGCGGGTCGCGGGCGGGTCGCGGGCGAGCATGACGACAGCAACAATAAGAAGCAACAGCAATCCGCACCGCGGAAGCCCACCTCAGGCACGCACCCAAGAGTGGAGTACGGTCGGGGACGTTGGGAGAACGTATCGCTCCGCTGGTTCTGGCCCGCCGCGCTTTGGATCGACACGCTATCCACTTGCCCGTCCAGGGCGTCCCCGTTCCGAGCTTTCCCGAGCCTCCCGCCCCGCGGGGCGTAGCGACATGCTGTCCACTCGCAGGGCATGGCGCGTCGCCGGGGCCGCCGCGGCGACACGCTATCCCAAAGTCGCCGACCGTACTGGGACTGATTGTTCTCTGGCTTGCTGTGAAGGTGTGTGGTTGGGTCCTGACCCTGAGATCCGACGTAGCGAAACAATTGCAACGTCGTGCAAATCCGCGCCTGAGGCCCCGGACCCCATCTTTCTGCGTCATCTTTCGAGCCGGATCGAACTGTGAGGGTCCCAGGACCCGAAAACAGGCGAAAACGCCCGGCTCGAAAAAATTGAATCGCCAGGATCTCAAGGAATCGTGCGGGTGGGATGGCCCTCCTGCGGGGCAGCGGATTGCTGGGCACTGGGGAAGTCCCTCCTCCCTCCTCATCCCTCCTCCCTCCTCCCTCCGCCCTCCCTCCTCCTCCTGCTCCTCCCTCCTCCTCCCTCCTCCTCCTCCTCCTCCTCCTCCTCCTCCTCCTCCTCCTGCTCCTCCTCCTTCTCCTCCCACTCCTCCTCCTCCTCCTCCTCCTCCTCCTCCTCCTCCTCCTCCTCCTCCCCCCTCCTCCTCCCCCTCCTCCTCCCCCTCCTCCTCCCCTCCTCCTCCTCCCTCCTCCTCCTCCTCCTCCTCCTCCTGCTCTTCCCCCTCCTCTCCTCCTCCTCCTCCTCCTCCTCCGTTCCCCCGCCTCCTCTTCCTCCTCCTCCCCTCCTTCCTCTTTCCTCCTCCTCCTCCTCCTCCTCATCCTGGTTTGAGGTGCTCCACCACCACCACCACCACCATAAGTTGGAGGGGCGAAGGATGTGGAGGAGGAGGAGGAGGACGAGGAGGAGGAGGACGAGGAGGAGGAGGAGGAGCCCCTCCCCCTCCTACTTATGGTGGTGGTGGTGGTGGTGGTGGTGGAAGACAGACCCGATGTGCTCTGACGGCGAAGCGCGGAAGCGTAAAGCCCCGGCGAATTCCCAGCGATGTCTACAGTACTCGGCCTGCCGTAAGGAACGATCAATATGGAACGAAGTTGTTGTTCAAGTAAGCCTACGAAGTTCGAAGGAACACCAGGGGGGCTCGCCGCCAAAAAGGTAGCGGAACGCATGCAAACCACAGGAACGACCGAGCCCCTTTTGAAAAGTAAGCGTTCTTTATTCAAGCCGGACTTTGTACATGATCTTCAGACGCTGGGCCATGCCCGCCGCAAAAAAAACTACCAACCCGACCAACCTGCCAGAACATGACGGTTAGGAACTTTGGCTCATCGTGTGCCCAGACATGCGACGTCCTGATGTTTTCAGCACGGCGTCCCACGGAAGTCCAGACCCCTTCCCCGGGGCCGGTTTTTCGTCCCGAGTCGCTGTGTGACGGTCCAGGGGCCTGGCGAGGGCACCCTGGGGCCGAACCTGGCGAGAACCCGCCCGTCCTGATGTTTGTTTCACGACGCGAGCACGTCTGGGGTCGCGCCGTCGGTTCTGGCCCGCCGCGCGTGGGCGCGGCGCGCCAGCCGCCGTCCTGGCCTCGGCGTCCGCGTCCCGAGCCGCTCTTGGCCGCCCCGCGCCGCGCAGCGGAGCGACGCGCTGGCCGCTTGCAGGGCATCGCGTGTTGCCGTCCAGGCCGGGCTCGAAATTCTCAGCCTCCCCCCTCCTCCTCCTCCTCCTCCTCCTCCTCCTCCTCCTCCTGCTCCTCTTCCTCCTCCTCTCCCCTCCCTCCTCCTACCTCTTCCTCCTCCTCCTCCTCCTCTCCTCCTCCTCCACCACTCCTCCTCCTCCTCCTCCTCCTCCTCCTGCTTCCTCCGCCTTCTCTCGTCCTCCTCCTCCTCCCCCTCTCCTCCTTCCTCCTCTTCCGTCCTCCTCCCCTCCTCCTCCTCTCATCCTCCTCCTCCTACTCCTCCCTCCTCCTCCTCCTCCTCCTCCTCCTCCTCCTCCTCCTCCTCCTCCTCCTCCTCCTCCTCCTCCCCCTCCCCCTCCCACCCAGGGCGACATGTTATCTCGCGTGCGCGCTCAGATCGAGCAGCTTGAGCATCAGAAGAAGGACTGCCCCCCTCAGGATCCATCCTCAGGGGCTTGAGGCGGGAAGCCCTTCTGACACTTCCCTGGGGCATGGCTTGCCCAAGGAAGTGAGTTCTGGCGCCAGGGTTCCTTTTTCTCCCCGATCTGGAGGGGAGTTGCACGTTTGCTACAATCCTACTTTGGTTCACCTCTCGGAAGCCAGGCTCAATTTCAAGCCTCGTCGGCCTGGAGATGAGCCAGGCTCGGCTGCTACCTCGGAAGCCAGGCTTAATGTTTAAGTCTCATCGGCCTGGAGATGAGCAGCGCCCTGGAGTAGCGCCGGAGAGCCCCTTACGCCCTCGAAAGCCAGGCTTGATTTCGAGTCTCATCGGCCTGGAGATGAGCAAGGCTCGGTTGCTGCCTCGGAAGCCAGGCTTACGCTGGGTTTCTTACTATGCGTGGGGAGTACAACACCGACGGGGGTCAACCTCGCCTCGTCGTCGCGCCGCGACGGGGGTCGGAGCGCCTTCGGCGCGCGGTGGCTGCCCGCGACGGGGGTCGATGCGGGGCTGTCGGCGGGGGTGACGCCCCCCCGACGCTTATTAAGAAACTCGGAAGGCAGTCTTAACTTTAAGTCTCATCGGCCTAGAGATGAGCAAGGCTCGGTTGCTACCTCGGAAGCCAGGCTTACTCTGGGTTTCTTAATAAGCGTGGGGGGGTACAATCCCGACGGGGGTCAACCTCGCCTCGTCGTCGCGCCGCGACGGGGGTCGGAGCGGCTTCGGCGCGCGGTGGCTGCCCGCGACGGGGATCGATGCGGGGCTGTCGGCGGGGGTGACCCCCTCTCGACGCTTATCAAGAATCTCGGAGTAATGTTTCGGTCATGTTTGTGAGGGAACTCGGAGTAATGAGCAGGGCTCGGTGGCTACCTCGGAGGCCAGGCTCAACTGTAAGTCTCATCGGCCTGGAGGTGAGCAGGAGTCGGCTACGCCCTCGGAAGCCAGGCTCAGTGTCGAAGTCTCCTCGGCCGGGAGATGAGCATGCTCATCACATCAGGGCCGTCCGCCGCGCCGCCGTGCTCGGCCCCGAAGCGCTTCGCGCGGGCGGCGGTTGTCTGGAGCGGCGGGAGGGCTCCGCTCCGCCAGTGGGGTAGTGCCTCCCCCCTCGCGGAGCGCAGGCGGGTGAACATCAGCTGGCATGCTTCGGGGGCCCCCAAACGGGGTGGTGACCACACCGTGTGGTGAGTCCGTGGGGATTCGGGGTCACCGCGCGGTGTTGGGACTCGGGTCGTTCTCCGAGGACGTCTCGGGCGACCGGGGCATCCGAGGTCCCAAAACCGTGCGTTGACGGGCCGTGCGGTGAGGTCTCGGGGGATTTCGAGGTCACCGCACGGTCTGTCACCGCACCGTTTCGGGACTCCAAAATGCTGCGCTGTTTTTTCAACGTCCGATGTTGCAGAATAGACGCAGAGCAGCGCAGAGCAAAGTACTTCGTGCGCCGGGTGGCATCAATCTTCGGCTTCCTGTGCAATCTCTCCCTCTCAGGGCGGTCAG